CCAGATGTTTTGTTTTGGCGGATTTTGGCTCATAGGATCCGATAGGTTTTAGTTCTGGAGTACAGAGTTCATTTAGCACCTCCTTAACGGCATCAGACTCTAATTTTCTAACTGATTCAGTCTTAGCAACTTATGATGGATTGATTCGTGTAGTAGGGAGTTGCTAATATGAGTTCATCGAGTAGTAAAACCTCACAGATCTCGAAAGAAGAAAGAGTAATATTTTGTCTAAACTGACTGCACTTAGTCAGAAAAGTATACGTCGACCAATAACCCGCTCTCAAACGGGGAGACTGGATCAGTTAGGAAATTAGAGTCTAATGCCGTTAAGGTGGTGCTAAATGAACTCTGTACTCCAGAACTAAAACCTATGGGATCCTATGAGCCAAAATCCGCCAAAAGAAAACATCTGGCAGCTACAGGTCATGTTCTTACGAATAGTGATTTTGAGGTTGTCCTACGAGAAAAGCGAAAATATAAATTACTTGTCAAAGAGTCACTAGTCATTCGAGTTACTCCTCCTATACTCAATGGAGCAGAATGTTCTATACCTCTGTATATGTATACAAGTGGATTTCAGTCAAATTTTTGCGATAAAAAGTGGATACCACCGAACGGATTTGATACTGTGGTATAGTAAAGTTATTCCTCCTAGGTCATGTATATGGGGGCAAAATTTTTTTCTTCTTTTTCTTTTCAATGCGAGTTTCAAAATATAAAACTTTTAGGCACTGTCATGCATTATACGTTAAGAGAAATATAAAAGCTATTGTACAGTATTTTCATTTTAATTCTTTTGTATTGCTTATCAGCTCTATTTTTATCTTACGCAAGAGATGTCTTGTTTAAAACGTAAGAAAGAAAGGATAAGAGAGAGAGAATTGTTTAATGTTTATGTATATACATGGTTTTTATTTCTATGTGAATGTAACGGTTTATTCTCAGTTCGTCCCAAATTGCTCACTCTCACACCGGAAATGATTGCGACGGAAGTATTTCTAAACTTACTTGGTCTCAGAACGACTATTTCCTTAAATGTGATATACAGAAATATAGCGCAGACAAAGAGCTTTAAAATGACATATGATAGTTCTACTGAGGTATGAGGTCGAGAGAGATCCACTCGAGAATATGATCAATAATACGTGTCAGAAGTGATTACAGTTAATTGGACCCACTTTTTCTGAGAGCATTTCTAAGGTCTGTCGAGTGGTTAGAAATGTTCTCCTGTTCATTCTGCATCTAACCATGTATGTGTCGATGGAATTCAAGCAGGGGCCGATTCCATCAAATAATCGCCCCCATCCTTTCTCCAAAATGTTCTTCTGATATGGATGAACTTCAATATGGGGAGAGTTACCGTTGGATTACTAGCAGGTGACACAATTTCACCGCAATAGAGGACCACCCTTTAGAATTCTGTTTGCCGGACAAAAAAGACTATCTGGTCTTTTATTGTGGGAGGGAGGCTTACTTATTTTTGGATGATCAAAATTAATCAAAAAAACTCTTTAACATTTCGACCTCTTAAGATGATGAAAGTGCATTCTATTCAGTGTGGTAATTTCGCTGAATTAGTATCAAGCCGTTATATGTAACAAAATGAACATGGCTTTGTTTTCAGTGAAGAATGTGAATCTCTGCTAACTAATGATTCTTTTAAGTAGATCATTTGTTATTTATAGGTTTCAAAATTGCTTTCAAACTTGGATATGTATGTTGAATAAGTTATCTTACTATTAATAAATAATATAAAGTAAAATTTAATAATTGTGAACAATTACAACTTCGGTAGAAATAGTTGACATGACGTTGCATTACGAAGTGATGGGAGTACGAGATAACGCTATCGTTGCTGAGCAAGAAATATCTATGCCTGAGATGGCAGACGATAAGAAAGCAGTCATGGCAGAACTGGAGGGAATTCGATCAGGCGCAGTTGTTCGACCAGAACCACTCTTTCATAGAAGAGCACACCATGTTATCGACACACATTATAATAGTTACCATAACGTACTACGAAACGGAGTAGAAGAAACTGAGTTTCAAAACCTTAAACTGATCTCACTCGATAAGCTATTCAATAATAAGCATGAGATCTTTCTCGGATTTGGTATACCCAATGTGTATCTGACCATTCCCAACGAAAACGGCAATGGATACAGTAAATTTGCCGCTTATATGCTGTGGCGTCAGACTAGCGCAGTGCTCGACACGAAAGGTCGCGTCCAATCAGGATTTCTTGTTCGATTTCGAAACTTACCGGAAGGTACATTAGAAATGCTTCGCAAGGCAATGTTGGAGCACTCGGGTAAAAGACACGTATCTTGTGCATATGCCAATGCGTGTGTGCTAAACTCTGCGCATTTTACTTCTGGAGGTACGGATTTACGTAATCATTTTGGTGCTCGAGCTATATTTCAGCAAATATTTGAGAAAGGCTTGGAATTTAGAGGACAGCCAGTTACTCATGATTTCATTCGAACGACTCCCCTCACCCTAGAGGAACACTTTAGCGCAGTTCGAAAGAAAGAGCTGACCAGCTTAGGCCGTGCCTGCCATAAGACAGTGAATGCATGTTTAACACCACATGACAACATCCGAGCACCATTGCTGCCAGTAAACGACGTTCCGATGATGCCGACAGTAGTCGGAAACTCTGCTTCTTTAACACTTCTTGAAATATCTCGTCCTAGTTTTATCGGAGCGACGATGAGAAAGCTTTGGGGATCACATACGTTATTCAAAGCCATTCCAGACAGGGAACAAGTAGACGTAGATAATTACCTTCCGAACACACTTCAGGCTTTTCCCATAGAAAAACCGAACTTTGTTACGAGAATCAAGAAAAACATTCTCTTTTCCTGGCCTGTGGTTATGTTTATACGAAGCCAAATGGCTTCAGGTTGGGATAACCATGGATACTTCTCCGCGGCTGCATTGTCATCAATGATGTCCGTTGATCCAAAAAAGGAAAACAAGTACAATGTTGTAATTACAGGTGATTGTCTGATTGGAATGCATAATAGCGTGGGTATAAAATTCGTGGATTGGTTACTCTCGAAACACGTTTTGATGTCTGGTTATGATGATGACGTACGTTTTGCAGGTGAAATTTGGATGGAACATCGAAACGAAGGTCTTGTTCTTCATGTGTCGAACAACTCAGGCACTTATCTACCAACAGATGAGCAGCTCACTGCCACAGGCCAGTATGTTGCTGCCGCATTACCAGGGCTACGAGTGGAACTTCATCCAAATCCAGCCAAAGCAGACTCATTAGTTTTGGATCCGAATCGGGATCAGGATACGTTTTTTACATTCAAACGCATACTTTTACTGGCGTTGGGGCTCATGCTCGGGCTCGGCTTTTTATTATTCGTACCCTCTAAAGTTAATTAATGATTAATATTCCAGAAAGCTACTGATGTTAAATTAGCTCGTAAACACATTATTAATTACGGTACAACATTGTTCGATTCTGTGTATTATGTAGATTTTTAATATTTTTCATGACTGTGAATCACCAACTCTTTTTGTATTAAAGCTGAATTGAAAATGGACCAATATATACTTAGTAACATGTTGCTAAATCGGTATTATACAATACTTGGGGAAAACACGAGAGAAAATAGCATCGTCATATGTCTTCAGTTATCAGCAAGTTTAATCGGAAAACCTGCTACTAAAAGAGGAGGGCAGATCAAACCTGTGTTTCTGTATCGTGATAAGAAAGACCTCGGACAACGTTCAGTATTTATTCTGACGATGCCCCACACAGTAAACGTTTTTCACTAGGCACGTGAGTATCAACTTTTTCATCATTCGAGATGGTTGTTTTGAGCGTAGAATGACTTTGTATAACTGACAGTAGTATTCTCGCAACAACTTAATTTAAAAACTTTTAGTTTTGAGCAATAAGTTCACTGTAAAAAGTAAGAGTGAGTCTATTGGCACTCCCCGGCGTGTCAACAAGGAGCTATTGGCACTCCCGGAAGTGTCAACTAGGAGCTATTGGTACTCCCATGCAAAAACTTTGCTGGTAGTGTCAATAAGGATGTCATCTGATATGTGGGAGGCCCGACGTTTGAAGGTAAAGTTTTAAAGTTTAAATTTAATTTCCTGATCTAGATATTTTTCCAAAATTTCTGAAACTACACCATCGGATAGAGAATCCAATCCTCTACCAAACGGCTCATTTGTTTTGACGTTTAGATGCCAAATATATTTTTAATTTTCTAAAAAAGTTTTGGTGTTTATTTTGTGGGCAATTTTATTCTCATTTAATCTAACTTTGAAAATTTATTTTTGGCTCCGTGGGATGGAGGGCATCTCAGACTATCTATCTCTGAGCAAATCAGAGCTCGCTAAGTTCTATGACAGAAAAAATATATGTCAAATCCCGGAAAGCAGAGCAAAAAACGGTGAAATTTCGTAACGGTCACTTTTATTCCATTTCCTCTGCCATGGAACTAATTCAAGAAAAAGTGAGTAGTGATTCTAATGGTACAAACTGTGAGCTTTAATTTGGTAATTCAGAAATCATTTTAAAATTAATTTTAGGCTGAATAATTTACATTTTACTGACATAGCCCGAAAAACACTACCATTTTTGAAATTCCGTAACGTCCTCTATTTTGACTATAACTTTTGATCCCGCTTGTTCAATCAAGCCCAAATTATTTTTGGTATAGGAACTCCCTAACATCCATCACTGGTATAAATTTCATTGACAAATGTTGCTTCTTTGCTGAGGTAAGGGGCACAGAAGAATGAAAAAATGAAATTCTGTAACATTTGGCCAAAGCGTGTAAACATATTGAACCTCATACTGACCACCACAGTTACCAGTGACAGCTCTGTGACAAGTGGCGTCCAAATTAAAAGGAATCACTATCAAATAGTTGTCCGTCTCGAGTTCGTGACCAGCCTTAATCATGATCGTTCATTACAAGAGAAAATTTTTCGTGACCATGAGGAAATAAAAATTTTTTGTCGTGATCATGACCAAAAAAGCTGGTCACATCGATCTCTACGTACGGCGCCCAAATCGTTGTTTTCCTTTTTGGGTTGACACTTCAAAATTCAAATGTATCCACTCTTTTGGATACGAACCGATAAGGAGTAAATTCTTGTGTACATTGCAATGAAAACTATTAGTTTGTATCTCACTTCAAGCAAAAGATATTCACGAAATTCAAAAGAATTGTACAGTAAAAATCATGATTAATTGTGAACAAGGGTAAAGTCGCGTTTCGCCAATAGACATTCGTCAGTATCTGTCCTCAGTATTCATTGGAGTGCTCATCCTGTAACTGCAAAAAATACAAAATAGACATTCGTCAATACCTGTTCGACATTCGCCAACTTGACATTCGTCAATACCTGTACGACGTTTGCCAGTACCTGTCCTCAGTATTCATTGGAGTGCTCATTATGTAACTGCAAAAAATATATTTTGTTGTAACTTTGGATCGGTCGGAACGGAACGGTACGAAAATTCTTTGCCGGTTCCCACGTTGACGTTTTCTCGGCAAAACGTCTGTAGAAAGCGTAGTTTGTTCGAAAAAGAACGATAGAGTGCAAAAAATAGGTGAGATTCTAGATTACTGATAAGATAATCTAACAGTTCCCGAGATTGCTAGTCATGATTTTACGAGGCGTTATTGCTAAGCGAAAAAAGTAGACTTGGCCTGCGAGGAACTGAGTAGGGCTTGATTGATACTAGTACAGTTAATTGCAGTCCTTTGACGCTCCCTGTACTCTCTGCAATTAGCTCGAATCTCTTGGTAGTCTTTCGAAGTCACTCGAAACTACGAAGGACTTCGAACTGCAAGAGGCTGGATGGATTGCAAGGACAGTCACGTCGCAGCTCTCAGCTGCAAGGGACTTCGAAGGATCCAGGGGACATGAAGTCTTCTTTTCACCCTTGCGTTATTGCTGTATTCGGTCTAGCAATTATCTAGAAAATGAAATGAGATTATAATGTAACAGAGCTTTTGTATATGCTACAAGATAATTAGTTCAAAAATGTTCATGTAAACTCAGAAGTTCGGACCTTCTATAATGGCTTTGCTAGAAATCAGTTCAATGCACCCAGAAAACCGTTTTAAACGTTTAACGTTTGTTAAATCATAATAAGATAAATATAATGTATAAAATACTAAGTTCTACGATTCCAATTAGAGCTCGAATTACTGAGAACTATGTCTTCAAAAATCGAATCGTTTTCTGAGCTAGAAACATTATCTTTAACTTAATTTCACCTTGTGCGTTCTATTTATTCATCATTGTTGATGAATATCGTCGACAATGATCACTCAGCGTTTTAACATACACAAAACGAATGCAATTGTTTGTTATTCGTCTAAAATGAAAGTATGCTCATGGTACTGCTCGAAAGTGTGTTTGACGCGTTTCGAATATACATGAAAAATTCGCAGGAAGAATCATGATGGATAAAATATTCCTGTCATGACAGCTAATTTGTTTCTTTAGTAATGTGCACAGACAAACATGAGAAGCTGTTGTCAAATGAGTAATTCTAAAGTAAGGTGTAAGGAGAAAAATCGAACTATTTTCTGTTTGTCATCCTTCATAATCATCATCGTCCCTATTTTCATTTTATTTTCTCGGAACAGAATGCGTTATTTTTTTACTTATTGTCAGTGACGAAATTATTGTTTTTCTGTTCTGTTCTATTCACTTACATACAATCATCATCGCTCATTACTTTTCCGTATATAAAAGGCTCGCGTACATACCTACTAGTCACCAGAAAAATGGGTCTTTCTACTGAACGTATTGAAACTTATGGTACTACACCAGTGAAACATGTAACGTGTTCTATCTGTAAAGATATTCTTTGGAAACCACAAACATGTAATACCTGTAAAAATGCGTTTTGCAAAGAATGTCTCGACTATTGGTTCAATAGACATCATAATACATGCCCAATGATGCATCATTACAAAAACGACCGTGTACCCCCGTTACTCAACGACATGTTGTCCGAATTAAGAATTTTCTGTTACAATAAAACTAACGGTTGCACAGACGTTCTGTCCTACGATGCACTGGAACAACATGAACTTAAGGGATGTAATTATCAGAAAGTAAATTGCCATGGTTGTAAGATTCCAATGTTAAAGAAAGATTTAGATCAACATGAGTCAGAATGTGACCAAATTGAAATTAATTGTGATCTGTGCGAAACGAAGTATCGACGAAAAGATGTACACGAAGAAGCACAATGTTTGCAGAATGCAGTTGTACTACACGATAAAATTATGAAACAATCGCAGCAAAACGGTCTAGCCACTACCACAGCTGCAAACAGTGAATTACCGTTAGGTAAGAAACACTTTTTTGTGTTTGATTTTTATTATTATTCTGGTAGATAGGTCGCCCTTTCGAAGAATATTAGATAATACACATTAGATAATCGAAGAATCGAGATAGTATGGCGCCAAGATAGGGCAGAAGAATTCCTCGATAGAAGCTGAAGCTGGTCGCAAAACTTTTGTGTGCTGCGAACCCAACGCTCCCTCTCTTTCTCAATCCAACACTTCTCTGGGGAGATAGAGGAAGTACAATGCCATATGACTTACAGGTCGTCTGAGCTCTTGTAGACTCGAATTAACTCAGCTTTTTATACCTAAATGTGCATTGTTTCTCATTTGCAGGTAAAAGTCGAAAAATTATCCAGTTTTTTGACGATATCCCTATCAATGGTGCTGCTGTTATACCTGAAGGAGAAGCTTCCGACGGCTACTACTCATTGAAATGGAGTCATCTCACATTAGTTTCTCGAGCGCAGGCAGAAAGCTGGGATCAAGAGAATCCGAGTTATCATTATCAAAATGCTTTCCTCGACGGTAGTGCAGTTGGACAAGCGTTTATAGCACAGAATACTAGTACCTGGGAACCAATGTCAATTACGATGAATAACAACAGTCGTACATTTACAGTTGAATCATTTACAGCTTGTACACCACGAACCAGCGACTTGCAAGTAAAAATACGTGGATGGAGAAATGGTGAGAAGAAGTATAAGATGACGGTGATACTGACACCCAGTTTAGCACAAGTTCCATTGGAAATGGAAGATATCGATAAAATTACATTTGATATAATGAGTTTCAGTTCAAAAAAGTGTTTTGCCATGAGTGAAATTATTATCATAGCGTAAATCAAGTTTTTTGTACATTCATTGAAAGTTTCATAAAGTAGGTCTAGCAAAAAGAAAGTTTAATATTTTGTGTAGTATTAAATGGGATAAGAATATGTGTCTTGCAAACTTTACAATAATATGAACAGACCGATTCCCAAAGCTGTGCGACACTATGTCCTGCGGCATGCTGACGCTGTGGAGGCACTTCCTGTACGGATGATGCTTGAAGTTTGGAAAGCTTAGAAATCTAGATAACAGGAGTTTAACCATTCTTTGTGTATTTTTGAGTGAAAAATCTTAATTATGCACCCATTTTTCCACCTGTATTGTTTTCCATCATTCCATCCCTTTCTATGTGCCTCCGATCAGAAATCATAAGCCTTATGATTCTGATCTTATGAAGCAAATACGATTATCCGATACTTGACCCTGTCACTATTCCTTAAACTTTAAATTGCAAGAACTTGACTTGCCTTGCCAAATCATGAAGGGTGTTACTAGGGCCTAGTCGGTCCTGCTCTGCGCGTAAACTGCCGGTTTTTGCTTGGACACCGGGAAATAGAATCTACGCCAGGCCGCCGCGGAACAATTCCAAGGTATCACCCGTGCCACCCATACTTTTCGGATAACGCCACTACAGATTACGCTGCTAAGGACAGGTGAAACTACATGAAGCACTTTTAGTCTGATTCTAATTCTGTTGTCAATCTTTAAGGAATCTGTCACCATTCATTCAATGCAATGAATCAGATCTGAATCACAAGGTCTTGGCTTTCTTTCAAGAATCGTGTGGCCGAATCTCAACTGATCGATAAGACCTTGTGATTCAGATCTGATTCAGATTTCTCGAAAATCAGATAGAATCAGATCTATGCTGTGAACCAAGTGACATCAATCAAATTGAGTTTTTGCTTCTTCTTGGGTTTTTGTTTATCATTCTCTCAACAGAGGGAGATTAGACGTATAAATCACCTGTTTCTTGCTAGCATATACAAGATTTTGATTTATAGTGAAAAAAAGAACTTCGATTTTTACCTCTACACTGAGAAAAAAGTGTTGTGTCGGTGATCACACTCAATTATCAAATGAAGAATTGATTTGAAATTTGACAAATGCCGGAGTAAAACCTCCGCCGAATTGTCCGCGTAATGGTTATTGGTATTTTATGAAACAAACTGTTTGATCAACAATAATCTACCAACCGGCACTTCCTTATCTAATGGTAATCCAACATCATCAGCAACCGTGCAACCATCACAAGCAGTTCAAGAAAAATAATTTTACGAGGATGCAAACAACTGCTTCAACGACACCACTGCCAAGAATTCAAAATCAACAAAGGAATGATAATAGTTCAGCACCTACAGCTGTCACATCGTCAGCATCAATAGTAACACAACAACAGGACCAAGAGCAACAGCATCGTCGCCGGCAAACAGAACAATAATATAAAAAAATGCAGAGGTACGTGCCCACGACGTCGAAAACGGTGGAATTAATTGCCATTTAATAAGCATTGAAATAAAATTTTTATGATATTCGACCCAGTTTTTAGGCCGCTTTTTGCCATTATAAGTGGAAACGTTTAAATGCATTTATTTCATTTTTAAATGTCAAAAACGGTCAAATAACAGGCATTTAACTGCTGTTGGTAATCCTGCTGGTAACATTTTTTGCCATTCAAATATCAAGTTTTAGATCCTTAAGAATATGTCAAAAATATATTTTCTGAAACCTGACATACTATCATCTGCACCGATCTAAGAACCACAGACCATTTCTTCGAGGCAAGTTTCTATGACTCGTATAACTGAAGAAGAGAAAAACTCTAAATTATTTTAGGAAATCAGAGTCGTTTATGATAGTCATGACGGCAGAATAAAACGGTGAATGACTTGGTGACAATAAACTGGCTGTTAAATGCCAGTTTATGATCAGTTTTTCGTCATTTTGCAATCGAGAACCTCAAATGGACACGTAACCGGTACATTTATTTGACATTAGTTAACGCGGTCTAATAAATGGACGAAAATGACATTCTTTCGGACATTGACTATAATCTGGCATTATTTTCATCGCTATTTCAAAGTCAAAACAAAAGTCATTATAATGGCTGTTAAACCTACCTGGGTGTTAGCAGCTTGTCCATGCAACTGCTGCGGCAGACATGTCTCACCCGTTACGTATTATGGTCAGTTTTGTTTTGATCATATCTCCGAAACCAAAAGTTGTATAAAGCTCAGCGACGTTTTATATTCAAGAAAAATTCTCAGAACCTCTCCTTCCACTATTTACAGATTATCTTCGGCTGGGCCACTTTCTTTTGTTTCGTTCTGTCTTTGTTCGTTCCTGGATTTGTTCTTTTGCGGTTCTTATCTTTTGTGATGCAGTAGTAAATATATATATTAGGTATTTTTCTTTGGTCGGAGTTAGTAGGTTGGAGTTTTGTCTTGAAGAGTAGTCGAATAAAAGAATAATATATATATAATACGTATCATAGCGCACGCAAACAATAAACTCAAGGACTTATAATTAGAGGAAATATAAGTCGTCAGATTGGGTTAATCCAATTAATGGATATTTAGTTGACACAAAAAGCGAGTCCAGCATCTCTACGGATTTACCATTGCTCACGTATATGTCTTATTTATTATCTGATATCGCTTTTTGTTGCATCTGCTATCTTGTTTTTGCTTTCTTGTCTTGTACTAAATCTTTCTATTGTTATTATATTATGCGTAGCTCTTGTTTCCATTATCGCCGAAAACAATGGGCCTTGTTTCTCTTTCGATGGCTAGAGATAGTGTAAAATTGCTGATCTCTTTCTTGTTTTCAAACAAAAAGCTAAATAACAGTACATCGTAGAAAGACATTCTTCTTTTTAATCGAAACAATTGAAGCTCCTTTTATGACTGGTCTTGAACTACAAAATCAATATAATCTGCTTTTTCTATCATGGAGCCGTCTTTACAACGTTACGTAGGTTCATGTAGTCTCATTTATGTGCCACACTATTCCTCTCGTCGAGACCTACTGAATGGAATATGATACATAGGTTTTCAGTCGCTTTCACTGGCTTTTTACTTAAATAACCTTCTGAAGGCTATAGTTACACCTGAACGCCCTGTATCTCGGCTACAGTGCAACCAACTGTTGGGAAACTTTTGTCTCATAAACTAGGAAGGGAGTACAACAAAACATACGACTCAGCAGAAGTGTTTTATTCTTACTTTGAATAAAACACATTCTAAAAACATTCTTTTTTACGCCAATTGAATGCATGTCTTATATAACCACAGCGACTTGTTACGCGACACGACTATTCCGCGAACAGAAGCCAGACTCTTCCACGAGTTTTTGTAAATAGATGTTACGCAAACTAAAAAAACAAAGGACTGAACCTAGTCGTTAACAAGATTTTCAAATAGCTTCAGCTTAAAGTACTGATATACCAGATAATTCTGACTGTTTTTCCATATATGAGTATACATCATGTGGCCTCTTCCGCGAAGAAAGTAAGAAAAAGACAAATTTAGCAAATGTGCCCTAGCTGTAATTTATTTCTGTATTCTGGCTATTTCGCTAATTAAAACCAGAAAACTTACTGAGTACCCTTTTCCACTTCTTACACTAATTTGAAGTACACAAATTGTATTATATACTGATTTATTTTCCAGAAAAAGGGCCCTTTTAGCTTTTAAGATACAGAAAAGGTCGGTCTTGTTCATCCACGGAAAATAATTTGGGCGTTATTTGATGCAAAACCTACTGTACTATGCGTAATTCAATGCAAGTGATTTTACTTGAAAAACCGACGAGGGACTGAAAATCTAAAGCTAGGGCCAGGAACGACGGCGCTATCTGACATTAAAATCATAGATAGAGCAGAAGAAGAAAGTAATAAACATTTGGCCCAAAATGAGAACGCAACGACGTCTAGAGGCAAAATTTGAATTGAAATCTGCTTGAGTTTTCCATGAGCTTAAAAGGTCGAAAGAGTTACTAACAACCCCCCCTCCCCCCACCCCGCTCTTTTGTGGCATCCCGTAGAAATGCCGTGAAATAAAAACTAAAAGTCGCTGGGGCTTCGTACTTTCAGAACTGATTGGAAACTCAATGAAGTACTTTTTCGTTTTAGTTTCAAGTTTTCAGCAATTGTCGTTCACCAGTTCTTCAGAAAACTCGGTTTTTCATTGTGCTCCATTATGACCCCCCTTTCTTCATCCGATCGAGTTCAAACTTTTACCATAGATACTTAAGATCATTCCGCAGGGGGAAATTTTTGGGAAATTGTTTTGAGACATTTCCTGGTCGAGTTACAGGAAAAATACTAAAAAACGTCTCACAAACCCTATAACTCGGTAAAGAAAAGTCTAAAATAAAATTCCAAAAATTACCTCTGCGGAATGACCTTAAGTATCTATGGTAAAATTTTGTGGTAAATTTCCCTTAAGATCAATGCGAACCTTGTGCCATTCAAAATAGTAAAACAATCTGACAATCTAGGTAAGACTAACATTGTGTGGAACTTTACTCCATGTCCCGTGTCTTATATCGAAAATAGATTTCCGGCAGAGAAATCTTAGACCTTAACGTGTATCCTTTAGTAACTGTGCGGTTGAAAAATCTACAGAAATGCTATTTTTTGTATGATTTTCTAGAAAACTCTCACTGTTTTCCCAATTTCAGCTTCAATTCATGAGTGACATATCAAATTGGGACTTTTTCAAGTTTTCAAAATTTTGATTACATCTGAAAGTTAAAGTTTTCTCATTCAGACTTTTTTAAAATATGTGGAAGTAAGGTTTCGAAAAAACCGTGGTTTTTAGGATACCTGGGACACAGGAAAAAGTTTTTTTTGAAAAATCCTCTAGATTCGAAAGACTTTAAAGATCACCATCGTGTTTAGAACCGAATGGGCTACATTTTTAAAAAAGGTTCGAGTCTTCCGCGCAAAACTGAAACTTCAGATTGAAATTTGAATTTGAAACAATCGAACGTTTTTAAAATTTGAATAACACGGCACAGATAGCTGGTATAAACCTTTTAAACGTATAATTTGATAGAGAATCAAAAATTGACCAAACGTAGTGGTTTGACAATGTTCTCGTATCACATGAGCCTGGTTTTCTATGGGTTTTTTTGTAAACCAGCAGTGAAAAAGTCGGAATTCTGCCTATAACTCTCAATTTTTTCCAACAAAACTCAATCTCTATGTAATGAAAATAATATATTCGGGGTCAGGATCAAAAAGCGAATCGACCGATATGTATTTCGAAATTTTAGTTGATTTTCGTTTTTGGATAAAAATCTCGATGACTTTTTCAACGTGAAAACTCGAGAAACATTGCACTCGGATAGGATAGAGTTACACATCAGTCTAATCGTTCTTTGATTTTGATTCTGAATATAATATTTTTATTACACAGAAGTTGAGTTCTGTTGCAGAAAACTGAGGATTATGGGCAGAATTCCGACTTTTTCACCGCTGGCTTACAAAACCCCCCATAGAAAACGAGGTTCACGTGCTACGAGTACATTGTCGAACCTCCACGTTTTTTCAGTCTTTAATTCTCTGTTTAATTACCCACACTTGAACCAAGGTTCTATCGCTTGTCTGAGCTATTCCGGTTCTAAAAAGGTTAAATGTTTTAAATTTCAAATTAAACTCAAAAACTGAAGTTTTGAGTTGAAGACTTGATTTATTTTTCTAAATGTTCGTCTTTCGACGCTGAATTCAAATATGTCATTAGAAATGTTTCATGTCTTAAAAGTAACTTTTAAAATTCGTTTTAAGAAGTAGAACTAGCCCAAAAACCACGGTTTTCTAGAAACCCTACTTTCGAGAGGTTTTGAGAAAACTTTCTGAAGAAGAAAAGAAAGAGGACATTGAGAATCGTCGAGTTTCATAAAGTTCGATTCAGTGATTATCGAGATAGACTCCTGATGTAACACGCCTATTAGGAAAAGAATGTCTATTTTTTGCAAAATGGTGGAATGTACATTGCTTCTGGACATTTATCGCATAATTTTTTTATATCGGCTTTTCTTAGAGAGAGTTTATGAAGTGCCATTGGTTTTTCGTAATAAAGAGTTTCAACAGAAAATGTTTTGGCAATCTCTGGAGGTGCTACTGTTCCATTAACTAGGGGCAAATTGACACCATACCAAACATCTTCCGGTGTACTCTCATCGTACTGTATTTTCTCCAGTAGTTTAATTGTTTTGATTTTTGAACGAAATGAGAATCCACCGTTACCGACAGGCACAGGAGTTTTAAGTGACGCACGCCAAGGTGCACCAATGTAATCGTATTGAACATAATCTTCAATTTTGTGCGGTGTATTTGAACAAAATATTGAATCCAACTGAAATATTAGAACTTTTTCACCAACAATTTTTTGCCAAAATTTCAAATTTGTAAACAAAAGATTCGTATAGCGTATATAATCACCGCGAAACGGCTGAAATAAGTAAATGTAGGTTAATTAAAACAATGAAGCTAATGCGATGAAATATTTAGATAGAGATACGATTTTGCTGCGCCAAAGCCTTATTTGAGTAAAACGTTAAACAAGTTTAATGATAATTCTAGCGTCAGTTTTCATATAGTAGTGCGGCACATATTTATGACGGGATAGAAAGCTCCTTCAATTCATATAACGGCTGTAACATAAAGAATGTTCACTTTTATATTTTCAATCTTCCACATCTCCTTTTTAACCTACAGTACTCATTTTTCTACCAAAAGAATCGCCGTTTATTTCTCTACAAAACTGTGTATTTTATTCAACGAACATAACCTTTTTATCAGCTTCCTGACGATTGACTGCCCATACCCGATCATTTTGAGCGTTGTACATCCCGTTCAAGTCAAATATTTTTTCGTCGGAAAATAGCCAGTCTTTTGTTCCATCTTTTTTGAAATTATTTAACACCCAGTTCGCAAATTCGACCCGTTTCCCCTTCTGAATGTCAGTGAAGGCGGGTTCCCGAACCTTTTTGTAGGGAAAACATCCCAGGTCATTGTGCAATATACGATGGGCACTCATGTGCGACATATTCAATTCCTTGCCCAACTTTCTGGTTGACACTCGTTTTTTTCGATTTAATCGCTGCTTGACCTTTTAGATATTCGCCTTTGTCCGCGCAATACGTGGTCGACCGGGAGATTTAGCCAGTTTGATAGCGCCGGTTTTTTCGATCATTTGTAGCCATGTTCGAAATGATACTGCACCGTTCAAATCCAGGAAGATCTTTGTTGCATCGTCGCTATTTTCACGTTTAATTTTTACGACATTTCGGAGATCTTTACTTTTCATTTTGTAAAAAAACTATCTGGAATTCTTCGAAAGTAGGTAACACATTTTTTTTGTAGAGAAATAAACATCGATTCGTTTGGTAGAAATATGAGTTCTGTAGGTTGAAAGGGAGAGGAGAAAAATTGAAAATAAAAAAGTGGAGATTCTTTATGTTACACCCGTTAAGAGGCAGTGCACGATAGGGACGAACTGAGTTGCTCAATGAACTTTCACAAATGTCTCTCAAATTTTCAGAGCAGATAGAGAAATGTGTCCTGAACATTTTTGTCTCTTGACATTTTTTCCAAACTGCTTTCCCTCGATAGTAGAGCGCTTGCAAAAAAAGGTTATAAAATAGAGAATAAAAGCTATTTTCCAGTCGAAAATTTTGCCTACGCTATAATTCCATCAAATCAAATGCTAATACGCTTAAACTTTTACCAGAGCTGTCTTGGTATTAGTACCATCCATGATAAAAATTTGAACCTGTTTCAGTTAAGCGTTCTCCAGAAATAGTTTATTCTTTCTTTTTTTTAGATAACTGTAAAAGTTGATAGAAAAGAATTTGGCTGCGACGCACGAAAGAAAGGTCATGATTCAAGCATAAGGTGATATTTGGAATCCGCGTAAAATTCTCTAGCCCATGTTTCTTTGTTTTCCGAAAAGTTTGCAAAGGCGAAATATCCAGGGCTTCGGAAAAACATCTGCGAAAAATCGAAATTTAATGTTAAAAATCTACAGTTTGCGGAAATCGGTAGAAAATTGAATTCTGCATCTACCTAGCAAATTAGAAAAATTTTGTAGTTGACGGAAGTAGCTGAATTTCAAGATGACTTTGGAATAATGTTTTCCAAAAAACCTTGGAAAATTCTAAGTTTCTAGCGTTTTTCTCCTTTCCTATGCACTGCGGAATCTTCATTTATACATACTGCGTCGAATGATGTAAAATTCAATGGGTTTTAAAAGTAAAATTTTCAGGTTGTTCCGAGGTGCGCTGAACGTTTTTGACCAGAGGCTCCCGAGTGTTTTCCATCATTTTCCCGAAAATTCGACGACGGTTCATGGTAGTTCGACTGAAAACTACATATTGGTGATCAGCTCGAAAACTTTGTCGAGTGATATATCATAAGTCCAGGAAAAAATTTTGTTTTAGTTGCACCTTACGTGCAAATCGAAATTCGAAATATTCGTTTTGATTTTCCTGCATAAAAAATCAGCGATTTAGAGGATCCCCTCATAAATCGAGAAGGTTCAATCCTTTCAGTTTCGATATGGTATTGGATTTCTGGAGGTCATGATTGCCGAGACCTACTCTGAATAAGACTAGGACTGCAACCTATACGAAATTTGAAATTAGCGCCATTGATTACACACTATCACATATCTTCTACGAAAAAACATTTTGTCGTAACTAACTGTTGAACAGTTTTCTTATTTTTATCGACAACTATGCAGTTTGGAAAAAAAACGCTTTTCTGTTACAGAAAAGTTCAAGCCCCGGAAACCTGAACTGGCGAAATAATCCAAGTCATCGACATAATTCACTGATTCAATCTCCAGTGGCGCTGTTTTGTTGATGCCTTGTTGAGGACCCCTTTCTCAGAAATTATCTCCGATACCGTAACATCTGATCTTAACGAAACTTTCCATAAATGTTAGGTTTAATGAGTTACAGGAATGAAGAAGTTGTTTTACGTTTAGGAGTTCTCTAGAGATCAAGATCCAAACAGGACCCTAAAGTATTTCCCAAGATTTTTTATATACTTCCAGCTGAAGAGTTCGAGTTTGTTTTATTTTGAACTAGACACCTAACTGCATGGACTGACCGGCGCCGATTTTTCAGTTCTGCCTGTGTTGATTTTCCAAACAATTAACAACCTCCAAAACACGAAAAATCCCTCCGCGTTTTCTACAAATCCTCAATTTGACAAAAAACTAAGATCTAATTCAAAAATGGACACCAATCAGTCCATGTAGTTTCTTGTCCTCCTCTAAACAAAAAAAAGAATAAGCTCTCTGCGACAAACCGTTATTAAAAATCTTGGGAAATACTTCAGATGTAACTCTTATATCGCTGTATCTGGAAAATGCTGTATGAAATACTCAATTTTAGAACCTCTAGGAAAATACCTGTAACTTTTGATGTAAGGTCATATGGAGTTGTGCGAGATCTTATTTTGATCAGAAAAGTTTGCTCTACAAATCTGTGTGTTTAGAAAAATTTTATTTTCTATTTGAAGACCCGGTTTTTCGAGACTTCTAGAAAACTTGCGAAAAATCATTTCCGTAATTGAAACTGCGATTTATTTAGCTTGTTATACTAGCGCTGTGACACATGCATGTATACAGAAGATGCACAATTACTTTACTCAGTGCACTAAACGACTTTAACAACGACTACTCGAAATATTTCTTCATCAGAAAAAGAATGCATCTTTTCTATTTGGGAGGGATCTTGTGACAGAGAGTCATCTTAACACTAAAAACAACACAAGTGAAAACTATACGATACCTCTAATAGTTCTAATATAATTTTTCCGTTCTTGATGTGTCTTGATAGAGCGGGAGAATTGTATAAAAATAAAAAATTCTCCTTACTATAAAATATTTGTATTGGCCAAGTAGGAGGAATATTGTTTAAAACATTCAAAATAATTGTTGGCAAGTGTGAAGATGGTCGAAGCTCAACAATAGCTGCCGAATAAGGATAAGATAACGGTAATTTATTACGTTCACGTATGTACAAATGATATTGGTTCCAAGAATCGAAAGAACCGTTTTGATCTATAGTTAGTGGAAAAAAATGTGTTGGTTTTATTTGATGAAAATTGATAGTATATATTATACAAAAGATAATAGTCAGCGTTAATATTAGAATAATTATTACTGTTCGATACGATCGCATTATCTAAAATAATAAAACGATTGTTGCTAGTAGATTGGAATTCAAAAATAGTGAATTTAATTATGGAAACGTGGTTAAAAGATAATTTAGAATACAATAAATATCGATACCAGCTTATAAAAACCTAAGAAAAGCCGTCAAAACCACGATCTAATCAATTGGAGCAAACGAATCAATCGTAGAATAATGTAAAGTGCTCCTCTGCAATGTTTGTATAAGAGAGAGAGAAAACATATAAAATCTATCTTCTCTTTTTTGTTAAAAAATTCTATTTTTTTTGTTTATTAACTCTTATATATAATACATCAAAGCAGCCATTAACTGTGCTACTGAATTCTAGGTAATATACAGCCACGTAGCCAGGATTTTTAGGAGAATGGGCACAAAAAAATTTCTCGTTTCCTAACATATTTTTTTTCACTTTTTTACCGTTCTGAAGAACTGCTGTCCCCACTTAGTGAATTTGCCCTTTTCCTAAGCACAGTCTAATTTTTTCTACGAGTTAAGAATAGCAGACGAACACGCTTAAATCACATACTAAGCAGCTAATACATTATGAAGAAACAGAACATTTTTTTGCTTAACACATAGATAAGACGGAATCGATCAATTATGACTATCAGTCCACATCAGAAAATACAGAATGAACAAGAAAAATGGTTTTTTTTCTTGCTGCTTTACTTTTCTCTAACTAAAAACAAACCTTTTATTTCCTCGAGGGTATGACTTTTTTTAGTCATACCCTCGAGGAAATAAAACTCCAAGCGTGGGCTTCTGGCCCACGGCTGACTACATCGCTGGTAATATATATATTCTCTTTGACCTTATCACTTGCGAATAGGGTCTTAAACAAATAGTAAGAATGATTTTTTGCCACCATTGCCATAGCTATGGCAATGGTGGCAAAAAATCATTCTTACTATTTGTTTAAGACCCTATTCGCAAGTGATAAGGTCAAAGAGAATATATATATATATATATACTACCTAGAATTCATTAGCACAGTTAATGTATGGCTTGATGTGTTATGTATAAGAGTTAATAAACAAAAAACAGAATTTTTTAATAAAAAAAGAGAAGATAGGTTTTATATGTTTTCTCTCTCTCTCTTATACAAACATTGCAGAGGAGCACTTTACATTATTCTACGATTGATTCGTTTGCTCCAACTGATTCTGAATTGATTCTGAACAACTGAAACTGACAATCCCGCTTTGCAATATAGTTACTTAGAACCACTTTACACACAGATTTCTCTGGTTGAAAAATTGTGAAAAAATTATTTTTCTCTTCCTTTTCTGACTTTCTCTTTGAAAAGAGAGAAAGAATGATTTATTTTGGCTTACATATGATTTGAAACGTTGTTTTATTTAGAAAAATGTTCCTTTTTTTAATTCTTTGTCTTCTACAATCAGGAAGATAATAAAATTACGATGCCATAAAATGAAATGAAATATTAAAGTATAAAAGTAATATTCTGCCGGTGGAAAGTAAAGAAAATTGCAGAACGTACGGCACAGAATTTGACATATACTTAAACAGTGTAAGAAGAGAAAACGTAACTGACTAATTTACACAGAATTCGAGAATCTCAAAGAATAAAACATCTGTGATCATTTTGATATGAAGATTTTGCACTATTTAGTAAAGGAGAATAGACGTTAGGGCATCAGATGCAGAATATTGTTCTTTTAATTTTTCGTATAATGAACGAACGTAGAAAATTTCACACAAAAAGCAGCTTTTGATTGATGGTAGAATAGAATCTAAGATTGTAACTGTCTAATAGTGTATACTTGTTTCAAAAGCAATTTAGTCCGAATTGAGTGATCGCATAAATAAACGTTAATAATATAACAAGAAAAATAAAACTTTTCTTTGTTTTGGAACTGGGATAAGGATCGTCTCGGACTAGAGTCCTGCAGCGAGCATCTGTAGATTCGGTCGATCTATGAAAATAGTTTCTGCTATAAAGAGACGAGACGAGACGAGACGAGACGAGACGAGACGAGACGCAGTCGTTATCAGACGAGAATTTGTCGCGAAATGTTTTGTGATTTTTATAAAACGTCTGTGAAATTTGAGTGATTTTTCATCTAGGTGGGAGACCTTATAACTTATAAGGGAGGCAAAACAGAGGAACATATCTATGCTAGTAAGGATGCAATTAGACTAGTTCTATAACATAAAGTGTGCCACCTAGTTGAAAAGCCATCCAAACTTCAGAGACATTTCATAAGATTTAGGAAACATTTCTCTATAAATTCTATTCTGGTAATAACTACGTCTCATCTAGTCGTTTAACAGAAACTTTTTTATAGATCAACTGAATCTATGGGGCACGCGTCGCAGGACTCTGTTTTGATACCCTAACAGTGACTACAGTTGTAATAGAGGAGAAAAGTCCACTCAGAGATGCAACAGTAACATCTAGAATAATTAGGTCGCGCAGGCAGTAACCACAGAAGCGTAACATACTACGACAAACGAATGGCAAAATCCAAAATTTTATATCATGGACTACCAATGAGGTATAAATCAATCATAGAAATGAATAGTAGTATAA